ACAAACCAACCCAAACAAATAAACAAAAACCCCCTCCACAAAACAACAAGAATAAAACAAAAACCCAAACAAACAAACAAACAAACCCATCACAAAAAAACCCATTTAACAAAAAGGATCTGGAATACCTGGTCAGTTATGAATTCAAGGTCTCTTGAAGTCCCTATGAATTCAGAGTCTCCATCCCAAAGACAAAGCAACTGCTCACAAGCAAAGCAGGAGACTGCACTGAGCTAAAGTTGTCCACACAGTCCTGGCACTATACAGGGATGGAAGAAAACAACTACAGCTGGAATTAAGTGTCTGCAACAACTTCTCAGGTGATTAAATTGTTTTTAGACATTTAATATCATCTATTGTTACTGGCTCTCACAACTTACACTGAAAGCTCAGGTACAAGTCCTCCTCCTGCTTTCTGAACTGTTGTGTGGGACAGTTTTAGGGGCCCCTAAACTTGTTTTTCCAATAGAACCAAACATTTGAAATGCCTGAGACTGGTGATACACTGGCACAGGCTGCCCAGAGAAGCTGTGGATTGTTCAAGGCCAGGTTGGATGAGGCTCTGAGCAGCGTGGTCTAGTGGAAGGTGTCCCTGCCCATGCCAGGAGGGTTGGAACTGGATGGTTTTTAAGGTCCCTTCCAACACAAACTGTTCTATAATTTTGGGATTTGAGAAACCTGAATGTCCTTACTGGGATTTCTGCACTCCCTGGGTCTTTGTCTGAGTCCTGGTTTGCTCCTCCTGCCTGAGTTGCACCAGATCTGGTTCACATTGCTGAGGGGAGCAGCCCCTCTGAGCTGCTCTCACCCATGGTTTGACTGAACTCCTGCAGGTGTGATTGGGGCTGTAGTCTCTGGGGATCTCACTAAAGTTAGTAAAAATAAACATGGAAACTTAGCAAATTAACTTATGCAATTATGCTCATTTAGTGCAGCAAAAGTACAGCAAAACCTTGTGGTATCTTTTTTTTTTATACTCTGGAGATCTGGAAACCCAAATTGGGTTTGGTCCACAACAAGTTCTCCCAGAGTAATAGCACAAGGTCTGAAGTGTACTTTCAGGCTCTTGATAGATGTCTGAATAGCACCTCCTGGTCAGCAATAGAAATCCTTCCCTACCTCAACCTCTGCCAAATTAATTCCATAAATGCTTTAGCACTAATATATTTGTAAGCTGGAAAAATTAGACCTGGAGAATGAGATATTGTCTTAGTCCAGGAAGGCATGCAAGCCTTTAATGAAGGCAGGTATGATATCAAACTAATAATCACTCATTTAAAAATTGCTAAATGCTATGAAAAACTGCTCTGGTGTCTGGAGAGTTTAAGAGAGACCCACAAAGTAAGAAACAGCTATTGCTACTGGTGGCTCGTGAAGCCATTAAATACGTCTGACGTTCACTTTTCAGGTCTGTGAGTCACACAGACACCACATCTTGCTTCAACCAGAAACAAGACCCACTTTACCCAATAAATTGACCAGACAAGGCTGTTCATTTGACCCTAATTACCCAAGTGTTCAGCCAATATTATGCAGACAGACAACATCAGTTGACACATTGGTCCTGCTAATAGTGATACTTAGCACTCCCTACCATTTTTCATCTTCAAAGCACTTTCGAAATTTTACTTAATTAATATCTTTGAAGATGCCAAACTGTTTGCTGATATTTCACTGATAGTTTCTGCTCTTTCCAGAGCAGAGGAAAAGATGCTATTTCCTAATTAGGTTTTAGTAAAGACACTACTGACTTCCCCTTCTTCTCATCTGGTTTTCAGTATCCTTCTATTTCCAGCAATCTGACCTCTTGCCAGTCGGCACCTGGGGAATTATTGCCTTACTTGCCTTTTAAATGGCAGATAACAAATTGTTGTCAAAGCAAAACCTTTCCATTTTTCTTTCAGACAAATTTAAATTTTACATGCTTAAGTCTCAGATCTTCAATCCTTTTAGTCGTTAACAAAGTAGGAGTCAATTAGTTTCAAATAATTTTCTATCTTTTAAATATGTTTCTTAGGTATAGTTTCCTGGCTTTCTGTTTGTTACAGTCTTACAAACATTTATCAGACGTTTGCGTTATAGGCCACTGTTTCAGCGGAAGCCTTGTCAGGTTGTTGAAATATGGATGTGATTCTGGACCTTTCATGTGTTCATGGAACATCTGAAGCCACATACAGTATATTACATGTCATTAGCACTGCTGCATCTGTCACTCTCAGAGGGGAATTGGCTACTGGCAGGGTGCTCTCCAAAGTCACAAACAAGCATTTCCACCAAGGTCATGAAGCTTGTAGCTTTTACACACAACAGTGTATTTAGGGGAAAAAAATTATCTGCAAAGGATGACTATATCCTATAAAATTAACTGTGAAAGGCAGATTTTCAGTAGGTGTGAGGACAGTGCATAGCTCAGACAGTTTTACAAAGTACACAGAGAGCAGTTTGTTAGGATGCTGCTTCAATACCCTCTGGGCCACTCAAAAATTGTGCCTTACACTACATTACAAAACTCTCACTTGTTGAATTTTAAATGACCTAGACATTAAGGAAGATTAATTTCCTTCTAGTCCTTTTCTTTTCATTTTGTTCCAACCTCTCAACTATTTCTTCTAATTCTGCTCTAGCTATAATCATCCTTCAAATACATATCTGTCAGGCACAGCACTGTCCATCATTTGTCACACTGAAATACAGACTCACACACTCACACTGCACACTCCTGTGTGTCTGGCTGTAGCTCTTTCATCTGCAGCTCAGCAAAGAATCGAGCCTGCTTGCATTCTGTTCAACAAAGCACTTAAACATAAAAGTAAGGATCAGGCTGATCCTGAAGCACATTGCAATTAGAAATGCATTGTTTAGTTAAAGGTTGAGATGAATGGTACTTTTGGATATCTTATGCACTATAGGAAGAAATCTCCTTCCACTAACTTTCTGGGATGAAAAAAAATCTATTCCAGTGGGTACTTCTACCAGCAGAAAATCCATCTGGCCTTACTCTAATAGGATGCTAAAAACATCAACAGTGAGAAACACCCAGAGCAGAAATACTTGCTAAAGATGTGATCAGCAGCCAGCGTGCCCCTCAGGGACTCACTGTTTACTCCTCTGGTGGGTTTTTCCAAAAGAAGAAAATCTTGATAAAAATACACCCACCCTATAGAAAAAAAAAAAAAAGAAATGAAAACAAAATTTTTAAAAGCAGTTTGGCATAGAAGAAAAGAGAAAAGAGAGATCTCAGGGAGAAACAATTTTTAACCAGTCTACTGCTTCCCCCAGCACCAGCCATTCATGGAACAAAAGGCCTCTGAGAAGCTGTGGCCTAAGAGAGCTCATAGAGGAGGTACAGGAGATAATTTGTTTAAAAGAAAGAGCTGCAAAGCAAAGGTCACTTCAAAGACTGCCCAGAAATGTGGAATGCTGGCCTGCTCCTCCCTTTCACACTGCAGTGTTGCCATGATAGCATGCTCTATCCTACTTGTGAAATTGTTTCTAACCACAGAATATCTTGGTACATTTTTCCCTGTTCTCCTCATGGTTTTCAGGATCAAACTCTACTCAAGGCTCCACAACTGAAAGATGATATATTTAGAGGCAAAATGAACTGTCTTCGTTTGTTTGTTTTTGACAGCTGTATTTATATTTCTTCACAGATTGCTCAGCTGGGGTTTAAAGCTTTTCTTTAATTGTGCTTATTATTCTGGAAGTGACCCAGTACATCCTGCAGTGGTTGAAACTGTATGACAAAATTAAAGTGAAAGAAGAGCTTTGCTGTCCTGTCCAGCCAATTATGAAGCAAGCAAAGACACTGTGAAGAAAAAAAACCTTTTTAAAAAATCAAGAAACTAAAGCCAAAATGCCCTTCATGATTCTGAGGTATTTTGGTTCATTGTCATCAGTTTGGACACCTCTTCAAAGCTTTTCTTTTTGTTGTTATTGTTTCTAGGCCACTCTTAGTATTTTAGTTCACATTTGTCATAGCAGAACCCATCTCAAGATGGGTCTCCATTTGCTCCTGCAACTGAGATGAATGAAATTGCTTTGCATGAAAACAAGGCATTCCCAAGGATGTCTTTAATTGTTTCTTTTTCTGACCATTATTTTCCAAGAATTCATGTTGACAAATGTATGGCAGCAATTGGAAACTCATAATTTTAAGTAAAAATTACACTGAAAGAGGATTGAATTGTAGTAGTGTGTGCAAAGCCATTCTGGTTTTTAAAATCCTGTTTCTGATGAAATGAAGAAGTCTGAAGAAGATGCTACAGACTTTTGCTTCTCTGAGACTTCAGCAAGACTAGTCCTCATTGGCCATGGTCTGCAACATTGGCCTTTGGTAGTATCATAAAAATACAAAGGAAAAGAATAAGAATTCTTTGTCAGTCTGTTGCTTACCAAGTCTGCAGACTTATTTTACTCGAGGTATATGTATCTTGACATTTTCAAAATGAAATCAGCACCTAATCCATCCATGAGTAATCTAACTTGTAGGAAACAGACAACAAAAAGAATGCTTTTAGATAAATCCTAATTAATTGTACATGCAAATGTCTTGGATGGATGTGGTCATGCAATTCAATTACATGACTAATTACACTGGAATTATAATGCCATATTTAAATAGATAAACATATATAAAAGTGCCTGCCCAGGAGTTTGCATGCTGGAGACTGGGAATAGAATCATTTATTGGCTCTTTAGTGCCACCTGTTGAAAACTGAGAACTCAAGCAAATGAATTTGTGCGCCAATTAGTCAACCATTTAGAAGAATGTCCACTTGCTTGGCAGGTGTGAAAGTCAAAAACTTCAGAAATTTAGCAACTGGGGTGGAAGTATTTGAAACACAGTTGTCACCCTAGGGAGGACGGTGTAACACCCCATTGGGGACACTGGGGAGCAGGAGCCAAGCTCTTGGGACATGTGGCACGTTCACGATGTCACACCCATTCAAGAACAGGGCTGGTTTCCCTTCTCCCCAGTGAGCCATGGCAGCACATACCTCAAAACAGGCATCCTGGCTGCAGAACCCTCTTCTTCCATGAGTGATTCCATGGTAGAGCTTCTCTGCTGACTAGGAGCAAGATTGCTGCTGCCTTGGCCGTGTAGGGCTGTGCTGGGAGCAGAGGGAGCGTTCGGATGCGGCGTGAGGCACCATGCAAGGAGAGCAGAGTTCCCGCTGTGTCTGTGGGGAGTGAGCACCAGTGAGGAGAGCAGAGTTCCCGCTGTGTCTGTGGGCAGCGAGCACCAGTGAGGAGAGCAGAGCTCCCGCTGTGTCTGTGGGGAGTGAGCACCAGTGAGGAGAGCAGAGTTCCCACTGTGTCTGTTGGCAGCGAGCACCAGTGAAGTCAACTTCAGCTGTGACAGCTCAGTGGCCAAGCTGCTGACATCACCTCTGAGGTCAAGAGAGCAGATCAGAGTAAAAAAGGTCTCCCAGAAGTTCAGTTTTCATAAAAATTATTTCTTGCCTGCTGTACTCTTTTACTTTAAAAAGAGCGTCCATTTTAGGCTATATTTTTTGCCTTTGGATTTAATTGATGATCAAGTTCTATCAAAAACTTAAATGTGGCCAGATCTCAGGCCTGTTCTTCAGGCTGAGATCTTAATCTAATGTCACATGGTTTGCCAAAGATGAAATAATGTAAAAATTCTTATTAAAGAAGTAAAATCTATTTCCTGTGCAAAACCAGTCATTTCACCCTTTTACCGACAACTTGAGAGGATACTCTGACAATTTAAAAACAAGTAGGCAAGGTAAAGGTAAATCATGGGGCTGCTTCACAAGCACCCCATGTGGCACCATGGTTTAGGCAAGTGGCACTTCAGGTGAGAAAGGAACACCATGGTGGAGGAGGACAAACCATGATGGAGATTTTAGCAATTATTGAGGCAACCAGGATGGTGCAGGGAAGCTAGGGCAGTTTGTTCTGTGCTCCTCAGTCTCTCTCCAGCTCTGCAGGAACTTCTGTCATGAAAAGATAGTGAGAGTTTTTAGGATAATGTTTTCATTTCACTGTGGACTTCAAGCAGTTTTAAGGTGATAAAGCAAAATCACCATTTCAGCCCATTTGCCTCCAACTCTGCTGTGCCTTAAAACATAATGTTTCATGCACACCATTGAAGGAACAGAACCTGCTACCAGAGCTGGGCACAGAAAAGTGATCCCCTATTTTCAGAGAGAATATTTTTCAAAATCTGGTGCAATATGGAAAAAAAAAGCCTCCACAGATATTAAAAGCCATCAAGGAGAACCTGGCAGGCACTGGCCCCACAGCTGCACACCCACCTGCCTGTGGTAGAACCTGCATTCTTTCCCCCAGGACATCCATGGGGTGAGCTGACATGACTGGGCAGCTGAAGGACAACACTTAAATTCTGCCAGTGACAGGTCAAAACGGGACCTTCTCCATGGGCTGTCTTCATTTCTCCACCTTATCACATTCCCACTTATGTTTGCTGCATTTCTTTGAGCCAGTCTGCCCGAGAGCTTCAAGCTCAACACATGATTAAATCAAAGTACTGCTGTTGTCTGCAGCATTTCTGACTTTTCTGGCTGACTTTCATTACCACTGACAGATTCAGCTGCCCAGATGTTTGTCCAGGTGTCACTTTCAAAAAATTCCCAAAATAAGGGGTGTGTCCCCCCATTTGGCTGGGCTTTCTAACATTTCTATGTAGGTATTTGAAAGGATAATAAAATTCAGAAATCATCCCACCCAAATGAAAGCAAACCTTTGTCTGAAACATCAACTTTAAGATGATGAGCAACCTTAAGCACAATATTTTTGGCACAAAATACTTCCTGTTTCAATTTTAATCCTTATTAAACATTACTCCATTCCAGTAAAACACCTGTTTTAGCCCTACAGAAGCTGAATCTCCAGAATTATATTCAATACCTATTATTCTTCCAAGTGGGAAAGAATTTCATAGAGAAAAGTAGAATAGCTATTATGACAGTAATACTTTATCATGGAGTAGCTTTTGGTGCAAAAAGGTAAGTCAGTGGCTTTGACAGATAATTATGGACTCCTATTACACAGCAGAATATCATTAAAAGTTACAATATGTAAAATGTCTTTCACATTTCAAAAAATGTTATCTATGTTTTTCTCAGTTAAATGAATTACCAATTTAATGAGACAAAGTCCTTTCAAATGTGAAATATTCACTCCTTGATTTTCTGGCAACACTTATTTTTAAAATATTGTATATATTGTTTTCATGCATATTTGGTGCATGAGGAGAAGTGTTTGGAAATGATTCCACACAATCTTGTTGACCTTTGTGATGCAAAATGAGAAAAGATTTCACAGTTAGGTGGTAAACAATCCTAATATCCTACTTCTGTATGGCTTGAAAATACTCATGATTTCAGGACAAAGCACAAATATACAAGGCACATAAGAGGTGCTTGGTTATTACTTGTAGTGCATTTAAATTCTGCCATCAGCTTTTACTCATCCAAGCATGTTGAAGTGAGCAGCTTCAGCCACTTAAAAAAGGCTTGATTTGCAGAAATTGATGGACCACCTCCTTCAATCTACTACTCCTTTTTATAGAATTCTACTTTTAAGGAGTTTCAAGTTGGATACCCAAAATCAATACTTACTTCTGAAATTGGAGGTCTTCAGCTTAGCTTCAAAGAGTAAAACAACAGGGATCAGCTGGCTGTTTTGTGCTGTCTCAGTTTCTGGGCTCCCAGAGAAGAAAATCTCAAGTTGCTTTTGTAGCCTCATAAAATGCAGATATTTGTCTGCGCTAAAACTAATCTCCTTAAGTGATATGTCCTATCTATTTACTCCCTGCAAATTTCTCTTGAAGAAACATAAAATAACCTATTTCACATCTGCATCCCTATCTTTAGGGCGCTATCATCTTTTACTGCATTCAGGAGGATTTACCAACACACCCAGAATACAGAGAGTTATGTCAAAAAAGATGAGACAACATCTCCTCAGTATTGCCTTTGGCATTTTCATTCATGTTAGCTTGGGGTTTGTCAGCTGGTGAAGAGTTGGGAACAGAAGAATGACTACAGCAAGGGGGTGAAGCAAAGTCTCCTGCCTAAAATTCAGGAGCTCTGCCAGACTCAGACATAACTTGTTCCCCCAAAGAACTAAATCAGAAGAACGATCACTTTTCTCTCTTTTCTCCAAACACAGCAGGTATTAAAAGGGCTCACTCTGAGCTTGTCACTGCTGCAGCAGCCCAGTAGGAGTGGATGTCAGCTCTAGCAAATGCAAGGCTTTGAGGGAGAGACTAAGAGCTGTAGGGCAATAGGTGAAGAGAACTTTTTAGCACCAATCCTTCACCATTTACTGTTTTCCTACATTTCTACTTTTCCATTCCTTAAGGACATATCCACGGAGTAGCAACTTGAAAGGTCACTTTGCCATCTGAGAAGGGTTTTTTATTGCATCATGGGGATGCTGTGATCCCTGCCTGGAATTCAACATGCTCCAGGACTGCAATCTATTCCACTTCACAACAGTGGGATTTCATTGCTTCCAGTCAAAGAAAAAGTCATTATTGAATTGCATCTTCATATTCCATGCTCTAAAGGTACATCACCTGTTAATGGAGTGAAAAGCCTGGGAAAAAGATGGAGCTACGGAATAACAGGAGTTCAGAGTAAGCAGGTGAATTTATTCATATTCTATTTTGCAGGTAGTACATTTACCCAGTGCTAACTTGGACCACATCTACAAATGATGGTGATAAAAAAAACACTCCTATATTTCAGTTGATACACATCAGAGAACTCCACTACCAAACCAAAAACCACACTCAAACACGTTCCTGGGAGAAAAGTAGGCTAAAGATATTGTCTCCAGACAGGGCCTGTTCATGTGGCTGGTGAAGATTCTTATCTTAGATTCGAAACTAGTAAGAATAACCTTTCCAGCTGCCAAAAGAGTATGAGTGTTCTTAAAAATATATCAGCTATTGCTTACACACAGCTGTTATTTTCAAAGAAGTTATTGATCTGAGGAAGATAAATTTTTCAGTTTTTTTTTTCCTTGTGAAACAAGTAACTTTATTAGAACAACGAAGCATAATGGCCAAGGAATAGCTTTATGTCCGAGTCATAACTATAATTGCAGTTGGAATTGCAAGGAACGTTCACCTGCATCTGTGTTTTCAAAATTATTCTTTTTTGAATGTAGAGTATAATGGAACTATGCCAAATGAAGACTGTAAGTCTCTTATTTACCATTGAGATCCACTTTCCCACCACAGAATTTTCTTCCTAATTAGCTCTTCTCTCAAATTCACTTCTACCAAAACCTCTTCATTGTATATGGTAGAAACTGGCTGAAATCTTTGTGCTCTGTCTCCCGTCCTGTGATAAGCTGCCAGGATAGCCCAGATAGAGAAAAACATATTTCAAGTATGGGGTATGGCTTTACCTTCTTCTGAAGCAGGCAATCCACTGACCTGTGTGAACAACAGCAAATTACTGGGATTTCAACAACAACTTCCTTCAAGTATTTGTTCTAGATCACATTACTGACCCTACATTAATTAAAATAAGCAGCTGTTTGTGTTAGTACATATGTTTTAGGATTCACATACAAAGGAGCTTCCTTTCCAAACATGAGGGACTGGATTCCTGATGACAGCCCAGGTGAGGAGCACTGCAGGGATGATGACCTGAGATGGGCAGCAGCAACAACACAAACCTGATCCTGTGTTCACAGGGCTTTTACAGTATCAGGGCTCTTTTGTCTGTTAGCAGGGTTAGGTGCAACTATGATCCTGTGGTTATCTACCATGAACCAGTGATGATTTAGAACATCTTTCTCCTCCCCTGCCTGTTCTCTGCTTACATCTTTTCCTTACTCCATTTATTTGCAAGGTGACTGGCTGAGATCTTCCACTGTGGGGGTTCATTCCAGGCTCAGGGATGATACAGCTTTCCCTCTCAGGGTGTTGCTTGGGTAGGGCCTTTGACAGACATTCTGCAGCTAGAGAGCAAGAAAAGGTCTGTAACAGTGATCCACTGAGGCCACAAAAAATAATCAGAGGCCCAGAGGAAAACATAGATCCTCAGAGAAGCAAGCCTTTACAGATTTTGATTTCACTGTGCATGTTTACTTGGCTGCTCACAGACTTGTAGGATGAAGAGCCTGGCTTGCTTTGGTCAAAATTCAGTTTGGAAGTGTCCACCATGAGACATTCCCTCCCAAATGAATTAGATCCTCAAAAGAGAGTTGATTTTATACAGAACCACTGGACCATTATCACAGACCATACACATGAAGGCCCTCTTAGCAAAAAGTAACTTTCTCATTATTCCTTCTGGACTTTATTTTAGGCTCATCAGTAGGACATTAAAACTTCAGGGGAGCAGGACAGCAGCTCATCCCTGCAACAGTAGCCAATTTGCCCAAAAAGCATGAACATATTCACCTCAAAAGAGTTAATGGCATGACTTGCTGCAGCTTTTCCATAGAAAACTAACCTTGCAAACTTGAGATGATGTTTTATCTGCAGGGTGGGTGGAGCAGAGAGCACAGCTGAAACGTGAACTCTGACAAAGGCAGACACAAAAGCCTTCACAGCCGCTCTCTGTTTGGTGCAAGGTTTTGGTTCATTAGCCTTGAAATGTTTCATTAACAGAATGCTTCTGGAATGCCATAAACAAACTGTGAGGGCCCTAGCATGCAGCAGCACTCTGTCAAAAATGAGCGTGGTTTATTCCCTTCTGTGAAATATTTAGAGAGAGAACGACAAAGTTCAGCAATGGCCATATCTGTGTGATCTAAACAAAAAAGTAACAACATAATAACAAGCACCTAAAAATACCTTTGTTCACTCATATTTCTTACAGTGTTACAGTTTTATTTCTGACTGAGAAGCAGAGTTGTCTCTACCTTTTGTGTCCTTTTTCCAAATGTTTTAAAAGAAGAAAAAATGGCTACATACATACTGGTTCATTTAAGTGATTCTTGAAATTATTTAAGGCTAAAACTTCTTTCTTCATTTTTCCTGAATTAGTTCTTGCCCATCCCTGGTCTTGTATGTAAAGCTCAAATATCGCAATTTTTGTTCTGGGAAAGCTTTCAC